GAGAAACAATTTGCCTAAACAACTTTTTATATGGACTTAAGCCTAACGTCTGGGATGTGTAATCCCTTGAACACTTAAAGAAATATACTCATGACTTACTCTTTGGTTATATTTTCCTTTTGGGAGTTTAAGACCATACAGTTGGCCCAAGTAAATCAATTTATTTTTACACTTAAGGTCGTTTGAGGATCTGTTCCTCAGGGGTCACATGGGCTTGGGAGGAGCTCCTGGCTCCTTTCTCTTACAAGTTTCATCTATGTGAAGATAAGTCAAAGGTCTTGCTCAACCATGGCTGGCTTCACCTGGAAGCATGGAGGAGATGTTTCCTGAGTTCATTTTTAACATATACAAAGTATTAAAGTCAAATGTATTTATAGATACACACACATGTATATATTGCATAACTTTAAAATCAGGTTAAATATTTATGTCTTTAAATATTTATCGTTTCTTTATGGTGGAAACTTTCAAATCCTTTCTTTTATTTTTCAGCTAGAAATGAAAAGCTCCCAAACATTTTATAAGGAGTAATGATTCCTGGGACAGAAGGGTGTTCAACTGATCCAGCTACCTGCGACTAATACAAGGAGACCAATGATGTGTGTTCCTCAGCTGGGCTGGGCTTTTGATGACTTAAAAGCCATTTAAGTCATCTATGCTTAGGTAAGTAACCCCTTACATATATTCCAGTAACCTCAGTAATATCACTGACACACTAAGCTATACTTAGGCAAAATCATTTCTTTGCTCTCTTGTTGACTCCCTTTCTGGTATAAATAGAGGTTTGTTCCAAACTGGGCAGGAAAAGTCGCACATTTAAAAAAATTCTAATTGATACATAATAAACACATAGCATTAGACACAACAAAATCTTTATACATGTCTGCATTATGTAAGGGACAATTCAAAGCAATTACTGTTAGCGGTTGGTAGGGCACAGAATATGGAACATTCTGACAGACAAGCAGGCTCAAGTTTCAGGAGCAGAGGAGCCTGAAGGCTGCTGATAGCTGTTGATGCAGAGACATCCACAAAACAAACAAACAAACAAGCAAACAAACAAACCAATTAACCAACCAAACAGACAAACAAAAAACAACAACAACAAAAAAGACCTTCCCCAGTCAATATCCTGGCTAAAGGAAATTGACTAACATAGTTCCATCATGGAACAGGAGGCATCCTGCAAAGGTTATTGTGGCAACCAGGAACAGACCAAAACTTTCTTAGGAGTTTGGATACCTCTACAGACAGAGACCTGCAGATCTGCTTGTCAACTTTTAGCAACATTTGGTGAGTTCAGGATTCTTCCTCCTCCTAGGTTTGACAGCCAGCTTTTTCTGGATTGGTCTTATTTTATTTCACCTCATTTGCATATTCAGCCAATCAGGGCCATCTGCCAGCTAGCATTGCGGAAAATGGATTCTTCTTGCCTGCAGAGATAGAAGCACTGCAGCAGTTGATGGATGAAAAAAGGAAGATGTTGGAGTCAAGTTCCTGGCAAGTACCAGATGCTCCTTCTCTCTTCATAGGAAGGCGCCTGAAAACCCCAACTTTGAGCTTCCAGTCATCTGACACTTCAGAGAATGAAGATTCCATTCAAGACTCACCCGTGACAGATGGGTTGGAAACTTCCCACACTTGAGAATTCTGCTCTGAGCAGGGAACTTACTTGAGCCAGGTTCAGGAAAACACCAGGGTTTACATCAGAGAGACTTTTTCTTGCCTCAGATTCCAAGGCACCACACTTGACCGGGTTGCAGAAAGGAAATTTTCCCTGCAGCTGCTTCCAGCCTCCAAGACCCACAACTTCTAAGACCAATGGCTGCTGACATCCACTGGCAGCTTTAGAGACCTGTTGGTCCAGGATGCAGATTCTTTGTTGTGCACTTTTGAGAGCTGTAACATTATTTCTCAGAAGTGTAGTGACTTTCAGTTAGCATCCTGCTGCTAACAAGAATTCAAATCTGTTTCATTTTTATCGTGCATGGAAATGTATTTAACATTATTTTGTTTAAAATTTTAGTATCAAATTAAACTAGCAATAAAGTGCCTCCAGTTCATTGAAAGAAAGTGAGACAAGAACCTGAATGGATAACAGAGGCTGTCACTACCAACTGTGTCATTACCATATCTATCTCCCTAAAAATCATCATTTCTTTATGGTGATACTTCCAAAGCGTGTGAATGTGGCAATATGTGATACAGATACTAGATATGGAGGATTCTTTCAACCTCCTATACCACTTAATGTGTGCCTCCCACAGAGGTTATGAAATGCTGAACCATATGGTCCTTCTACCTATCTGGGAAGTCTAAGGGAAAAGATGCTTGTTCTACTTTACTTTCAATTGTTGTGATAAAACACAATGACCAAAACCAACTTGGGGAGGAAAGGGCTTATTTGACGCACATTCCCTGGGTCACAGTTCATCACTGAAGGAGCCCAAGGTAAAACTCAGGGCAGGAACCCTGAGGTAGGACCTAGAGCACAGGCCATGGAAGATAGCTGCTTACTGGTTTGCTCTCCTGGCCCCGAGCTCAACCTGCTTTCTGACACAATACAGGACCACCTGCCCATGGGTGGCACCACCAACTGCTGGATGGACTCTCCCATATCACTCAACAATACAGATAATGCCCCACAGTCATGGCCACAGGTAAGTCCAATGGAGGAAATTCACCAGTTGAGGTTCCCTCTATACAGGTGTGTCAAGTTGACAATTAAAGGTATCCAGCACAATGGTGATGCGTATAGCACATCACAGGAGAGGCTCAGTCTTCCGTCTTCTATACACTTACCACTGGTTTTGATGGATGTTAGAGTCTTCTCTCCTTCTGTCTTCAATTTTCAGAGAAGATCATCACTGGGCAACTCTCCAAGAAACCAGAGGATGAAAAAAGTAAATGGAAACCAGGTTTCCAGAATTATGCTGATTCCTGGGAACTGGCAACAGATAGACCAATATAATCAATACTTCCCAATTGTTAGACTTCTGGCACTTAAAGGACCTAGAATACACATGAGAGTGTTTCTAAATACTACTAGCAAATGTGGAATATAGCAAGAAAGCTTTGTTGTTGTATGTTAAATTGAAAATTTCAAAATCATATGAATTATTTATAGCGATCATTCTAGAAACAATTAGGTAAAATGTTCTCTGACACACACATAAATACAGAATACAACAGGCATCCAAGTAACATCCTTTTTCCTTTATATGGAAAAGTTTGCTAGTTGGACTTTATCAGCCAGGAGTATCTGCAATGTCACTGAGAGCAAGTTACCAATCTAAAAGGCAGATTCACATTACACCTGTTGTTAGAATGTGTATCTAGATAATAGCTTGGGGATAATAGCTTGGAGACTTTTTACATGGTTAGAGGTGCTGTTGGGTTAGTCTTGGAAACTTCAGGGGATGAGGTCTTGTTAGAGTAAGTAGGTCACTGAGGAAGGGCCTTGAAAGGTTTATATTAGAACCCCAGCCCCTTTCATTTCTCTCTTTACTTAAGCCCCATTGGCATGAGCAGATTTTTTTCTAACAAGCACTCCCTAACCTGACATTTTGTGTCATAACAGGCCCTAGGAAAAGAGGTCAAGGAACTAATTGCTAAAACCTAAAACATCTGAAACCACAAAATACTGCTTTTTTATGTTTCTTTTCCTTTGGCTTTTGTTTTGTATTTTGGTCTAAAGGTTTTTTTTCACAGCAATGGAAAGTCAACAGACTGTGATGGTTAATATTAGTTGTCAATTTGACTGGATTAAGAACTTCCTAGATTAATACAGCTCATCTCAGAGTGGGTCCATTAAGATCTTTCAATTGATGATTAGATATTTATGGCACTGACATGAGTAAAGGATTCATGCTTTAATTCTCAATATGAAGGCATCATTGGACAAGCCTTCTGGCCTTGCTGGGTCATTGTTTCCCACCACTGTGATTCTGTTCTTGAGAGTGATATCTTGGCCGAGCTGCATGCTGTGGTCTCTCTACCATTTGTCTCTCATTAGGTGAACAGCATCCGCCACACATGTACTTCCACCATCTTGATGCTCTATGTCACTATGTACTCAGAATCAGGGGAGGAAAAGAGTATGGACTGAAATCTCTACAATGGTGAGCCAAATACAACTTTCCTTTCCATGAGTTGTTTCTAACATTTATTTTGTCACAGTGATATAAAACTACCTAAAATACAAACATACTGAGTGATCATCTGCAGAGTAACACTATCAAGATTAAGAAGTTATGTTAAACAGATGGTTATTTGACCAAGGAGATCTTTGAAAAATATTCATTTAAATGAACATGACTTCTGCCAATGAAAGGATTGTAGTTTTGAATATTAGATGAAGCAATGTTTTCAAAGTATTTGAAAACAAATAAAGATAGGAAAAAATTAAAACTTTGTGGGCCAGTGTTGGATAGTTTAGTTTAGGACTTTGGATTTGCTTATGAAATCTGATCAAAGGATGTTGTACATTGGCCTAGGAAGTTTCTGCTTTTTACCTTATTTACAGACAAATTAATGTGAACAGGCGGTCAACATGCTTAGTGACTGGAGCTCAGCCCTCAAATGTCCCTTGTCTCAATCATCAAAGTCCTTTCTGTCATGAGCATCTGAAACTAGGAATATAAAGATGTAGTGTGATGAGTCACTGTGTTTTGAAGGGATGGTTTCCGATATTGATTGCTAACATGCTGGATAACAGAAAAGAGAACATCCACATATGTAGATATATGTTTATTAAAATGGAAGCCTAACTATGAATATTTAGGAAACCCGAATAAAAAGTTAGGAAACACAGAATAAATAGATTGTAAAAACTACGTGAATGAACAGAAAAAATGTAGCACATTTATGGTTACATATAAGAGGAGCAAACATTAGTACTAAGATTATATTATAACAGTACTTAAAAGAGCAATGAGAATGAAAATTTGCACACACATGTGGCTCTCTATATAGACATATGATAGAGATACAGTAAATCATTAAGTTCACAGTTAATAAATGAACATAATGTGTTTATAAATGTATCATTTAACTTCTCATTCCTGATGCAAAACACCTGACAAAAGCAGTTTAAGGAGATAAGGATTTGTTGTTGCAAAATTTGAGAGTATAATCTATCATAATGGAAGCTTCTAGTATGGGGGCTAGAGAGTAAAGCAGCTGGTCACCATGTAGTCAAAAAGCAAAGAGAGTTAGGTGCAGGTACTCTATGGTTTTCTCCTTATTTTTTCAGTCCAGGATCCAATCTTCTGTCTGGTGCTGTTCAGATCCAAGTTGGATCTTCGCATCTGTTCAACCTCTCTGGAAATGCCCTCACAGACCTGTCCAGGGGTTTGTCTCCTGGATGACTCTAAATCCTCTCAAGTTGGCAATGAAGAGCAACTGTCGTAAGATGTAGATAAAGTATATTAAATAGATATTTATAATGTACACATATATGTATTATCTAGTAAATGCACATATTCATATATTTGTGTTGCTTAAACATATAGTCATGTGTTTATGCCCACACAAATATAAATATCCTATGTATTTATTATACATAGGTGTGTGTGTGTGTGCACATATAAGGCACAGGCATTTGATCTATATTATCATATTGCCAAGGAAATGTAAGTTAGACTTTCAGATCTCTTATTAAATCCTGTGAGAGCCTCTAATTAGAGAAAATGCCCTCTAGTCTCAGGAATTGTTTGGAATAAAGAGGAGAGATTTAATTCAGCATGAGTTTCAGCCAGCCAGCTTGTAGCTGGAGAATGTCCTGGGGTGGATAGTGAAACCTCACTTCTCAACCAATAGAAATACTCCACTTATGAAAAGCCTGCATTTTTTTTTTTCCTGTGACAGGAATAACCCTCAATGTGTCTTTAATCTCACTGAGCGCAGTTTGGTTTGGATGGTGTGAGTTGACAAACATACAGGAGGATCTACAGAATGTGTGATCCTGTCATGGTCTGTACCTAACAGTCATTGTGTAATGAAAATTATATCCAAGACAGTTGTCCAAAACACAGTAATAATAGCAGCCTGCCAGCTTTGTAGACCCTGACAAACAGCATCAGGAAACACAGAGAAATTCAGTGGAGTTCACTTGAATGAGACATACCTTAATAAGACTTTCACTCCTGGAGACAGATGTGGTTATCATGGCAATCTTATTGCTAACTCTTATAAATCAGTGCCCAGTGTACTATGAACAAATATGGACTGTTGGATTGTTATAGTAAAAGAGACAGATAACTTTCAGTATTAGAGGTATGATGAATTTGTGTAAGAGAATACAATGATATTTGAAAGATGTTTTTGACCAAGAATGGTTTTTAACATGTTCCTTAGTAATTCAGGGAAACAGATAGGAAGATGCTTAAAGATTTAATTGGAGTTAGAAACTTAAAATTTTAATTTTACTTTTCCATAAAAGTTATTTAATAATCTTATAGTTTTATGTTACTATTACCAAAGTGGCAATACTCTTAGAAGTTCAAACACCTTAAAGAATATTTTGTAAAATAGTGTTTTCCAGAATAGATAAAAGAATTCATAACAGGTTTCTAGAATATATATTAAGGGTGCTATTGTTTTGGAGTTCCTATAACAAAAAACTATGGATTCATAGCCAAATCCAGAAGAAATTTGTGTTTTCACAGCTCTACATGATGGAAACTTGAAATTAATAACAACATGAATCTGACCCAACATCCTTTCCTTTAGCAGCTATTTTAATGTTGATATTAGAAAATATAAGCCAGGTTGCAGGTTACATTGATACATGAGAAGAGTGGACCCTGTTCTTTCTATTGTACTCAAAGGAATCTAGTGTGAACTGTGCTCATGGGTGTGTCTGTCCCACATACAGACCAGGAGAAAAACTAGTTCTTAGAAGAAGATGCTAACAATTTTGACAATTCCAGATTCTACATGTGAAGTAAAAATTAGAGGGCTTCTCTTTAAACACCACTCAATGGACTGGAGAGATCACTTAGAGATTAAGAGCATGTGCTTCTTCTCCAGAGGACCTGAGTTCAATTCCCAGCAGCCACATCAGATGAGTACAACTACCTGTAACTCTAACTCCTGGGAGATCAGACATCTCTGGCTTCTGTTGGCATGAATGCCCATGTGCACATACCCCCACAGAGAGAAACACATATTCACAAGAATGAAAATAAATAGAAAAAAAACCTAAAAAAAAACCACTACTCAAAACCAAATTGGACATACAGATTCAGTAAGTATACCAGAATACTTTCTAGATTTTATGAATTTTATCCTTGACTATAAATATTACTGCTTATTTCATATTTATGTTCCAAATGATAAAATTCTCTGCTCCTCCCACCCCTTTTCCTTAGAAATGCTCCTAGGACTAACTGTAAGGGACAAGGTTTTACTCCTTCTAACATTCTAATATCCCCTAGCAATCAAGGTGGCAAAAATCAATATGAGATTCCTAATAGCTCAAGCCCGTTCTATCTTTGGATAAAACTCTTGAGCTCTAATACAATTGGGTATAGATGTCCTACTCTATAGTTATAGTTGTTTCCATCACATCCCATAAACTGACCAACACACACCTGCATAAACTTTGGGTCTCTGATATGATCTTAGCATGGCAGGGCCTTGAGTAATGTTCCTCGTCGCATACATCCTGAAGTCATTCTGCTTTTTGCTGTAAGAACTTCAATTTTTCTACAAATGTAGAAGACATTTTACTTCTCTTTACTCTTAGAGTGGGCTTTAATACTTCCTTGACCTTTCTCACACAGCTGGACTCACCAGGGGATTTGCATA